GAAGCAAGGCTGCTGGGCAGTGCTGCCCACAGCAGGGCCGTGGCGGCACTAAAGCACAGAGCCAGGGTCTCCTGGCTCCCAGATGGGGCCTTGTGCATCCAGCACCTTTCTCTGTGCAGCAGAGGGGCTCTTACTGCACCGTGTCAATAACGAGACATTTTTATTCTCATTCTCCTCTTTCTGCCGAAGTAACTCTGATTGCTCTTATGAATTTTAATGTCTGGTGCTAGTTGGCTGTCTACCAGTTCAGTGACACCCTTTCAAAGCTGACAGATAACAGGAGTGTCTTACCAAAAGAAACAGAGGAGATTCTGGGGTGCTTTCTTATTGCTCTCTCTCTTTTTTTCCCCTCTAAAAGGAGAGGCTAAGTCACATTGGACCCGAGGAATTTGTGCAGGCGTTTGTCCATAAAGACCCTTTGGATGGCACCAAGGTATGATTTGTGTGTGTGCAAAATGTCTCCCGCGGTAGCCGTGTTTGTTCCAGCTTGTGGAATGCTCTGAGGAGATCCAAAAGAAGAGGGCCTGGGGCCCAGGTCGAGCAGGAGAAGACCTGTGGGCAGACACCGATATTCTCACTGTGGGGACAGCACCTTCTGTAGAGCTCCCTCGTTGGCAGCTCTTTGCCATTCCTTCCTGATGAGAACGTGTCCCAGCCGGAGACAGCCAGCATCCCCATGTCCTGGCCTCCGGATCGTTCCTCCTAACGTGTTTTTATCGGGACAGACGGCCTGTGGCTGCGCAGGACCAGGAATGTCGGTTCCCAGTGATGGAGGCGCATAGACTTTGGCCGTGATGTAACGCCCACAGTGTGTGCCCAGACAGCACAGTCATGAGTCAGTGCGTCATGAATCAACGTACTCATCTCTCTCCACACAATAGCTTTTAACCCAGAGCACTGTAGGGAACAGAGTGTCTGACCAGGACTTCATCCAAAGTCCGGAGAAGCCAGTTGGAGCCTTTCCACTGATTCTAGTGGGGTTTGAAGCAGTGCTTCAGTGAGTGTCTCAGTAAGGAAAAACAGTTCCTGGCCAGAGAGTGAAAGTCTGACATGTCACATAATGCCAGAAAAGAAAGGGAGTGGAAAATTCATCCTCAGAACTGCATATGGGCTCCCACCGTGATCATACATTAATGGCAGAATTTCATCTTTTGATTCTGAAAATAACAACAATACCTCTGTTTATAGTTCTGTCCAAAGCAAATAATTTGTATCAATGAAGAGATGGATGGATGGATAAAAAGTGCAACACTGGGCTCCTCTAATTGAAATTCTGGAAATTTTGCACTTGTTTGCCGAGAGAGGGGAGTGGGCAGAGCTGTTGTTCCAGGTATTCTGAACATTGATCATGTCCTTTAGGTGGGAACCCTCAGATATCTAATATGTGTCAGAAATATGAAAGCTCTGAGTGCCATAAAAATAACTGTCATTATTAGTAAAGAACTTCACAGAAATGTGTGTTGAGGGAAATGCTTTCTTGGGCTTAGATGAGTATTAAAGAGACTTCCTTAATGGCAAATTTTACTGTTGGAGCTTTTGATCACTAAGGAAATGACATCTATTATCAGCTTAGCCACCACAAGTCAAATTTTAGTCAAGAGTCCTGGGGCGAGAAGAATTCTGTCTCTTTTTGATACTGTTAGTATCAAATTACCATTAGTAATTTTGCTGCCTCCATAGGAGCTGCCAGGGTATCAAAGACAGACTAAAAATCGCCTCATTTTAGACAGAATCAGGGAACTTGCAGTTAAGCATTTTATGCTCAGATTTAATGGCAATAAAATCATTCTGCCACTTGGAAAAGAGCAGCTCAGCCAGTTCCCAATACCACAGTGCCCAGGAACAGCTCCTGCAGTCTCCTGCTGCCAGGAGAAGGAAGGAGCGAGGATGGAGGAGGAATCCTGGGCTCTGGTGCGGAGCTGCTGGACTGTCCATGGTGAGAATGCCCCACCCTACAATGACCAACTTACTGGTGGCTCCAGCCCCCTGGCTGTCCCCACACTGGTGACCACAGGTGGCAATTAATGAGCTTAATGAGTCGCTTGTGAGCTTCAAGAAGTGGCTTCCTGGGGGGGCACATGCTTTTGGCTGAAAGGCAGCAACTAGGCTTAGTGTTTCTTGGGCCTTACACCACAAGAGCTTTGCGTTTTCCTGTCACCTCCGTGTCATCGTGTTGTACCTGGGAGGATGAGATTGTGGTGCCAGCACAAAGGAGTATTAAGATGTAAAGAGAAATGAAGGTTACGAAGTAAACAGGGGAACATCAGCCTAGTGTGGACAGGAAGGACTAAAGCAAAGAGCCTGCAAGAAAAACAGGGAGCCTGAAAGTGATGGTAGGTTGGTATATCAGAGCAAATCATCTTGAAAGACAAAGAAAAATAGGTGTTTTCTTGAAATATGATGGGAATATACAGTTCAGATCAGTACCACAGCTGGGACTTCATTGCAGGGGATGCATCACTGTTTGGCCTTTGGAATCCAAGGCAGTACCTTCCACCTAATAAGGACCTCAATAATAATGCAAAAACTACAACAGGCTCTTGTAATTTAGTCTTAAAGTAGCTAGGAATTTTAGGCTTGTTAAGACTCTCCCCATGATTTTTGTGATTTCTGTTTTTGAACATAAATGAATATGTATTTTTTTAATTACCTTGGGAATTATATTAGTCAACATTCCTTAAAGGCTTTTAAGTATTTATTTAACTTGTGCAGTATGAGCATTCCTGTTGGCATTAAGGAATCTGTGTTCATGCACTGTGGTTTTCTTCTTAGTGGCCTGTATTTGTGGCAGCTCTGGGAAATGCTCATCTTAATAAAACAAAAATTCAGTATTCTCTGATACCCTCTAGTGGATGTTAATGAATGTTTAAATACATCACATGAAATCTAGAGAGGGGCCGTTCCTAGCGCTTCTTCAGGATTTAGGACCAGGGAAGGAATTTGAATTCTCATGATCCCTAACTGCATCTTTGGGCTGGGTGAACTGCCAAACCTCTACTGAAGTCAAATTATCAAGTCAAAGGAACTGGAAGAATTCAGCCAGATGTCTGCTCCCACAGCCTGTAGCAGTGTGAGATTATATAAAATTTTCTATGAAAAGTGGAGAATGTGCTTCTTACATAGACCCTTCCTGATGAAGTCCCTCGTGCATGTCAGTGTCCGGCTTGGGAGCAGCCGCCAAGACAGTCATCAGCAGACAGCGAATTATCCTGAACGCTCAAGAGCACAAGGGAAATATTTCTTTTTCTCATAAAGAAGCAACTCTAGCTGTCTCTTGATCACCTCATGAATTATGGGTTACTCCTTCCAGAAAGAGGCTACCAGTGATTGCATTTACAAAAATGAAGAAGGTCCTGAAATGGAAGGATCCAGCTGCATGTGCTGGCAAGGTTGCGCTTGTCCTATTTAATTTTTCTGCATATTGTTGCTGCTCTGTGGATCCTGCAGTGCCTGCTAATACCCCACTGAGCAAGGATCAGTGCACACAGCTCTGGCGAGCACTTGCCACGGGCAAAATGGGGCCGTTTTCCATCCACCGACGTGGATGGCACAGTGACATACTCGGCTAGAGCCATCCACCCGCCGCCCACCTACCCACTGACTTTTTGAACTGTGCCCTTAATGCACCGTCCCCCGAGGGCGTCACTGAGATGTGACAAAGTGATTACTGTTGCGTAGCGTGTATCGCGGCGCTCAGACAGCTCACTGCAAGTTAAATGTCTCTCCCTCCTTCCTCCTCCAGACTTGTTTCAGTGAGCAGAAGAAGACAAGTAACCTTGAGGCCTACGTGAAATGGTTCAATAGACTCTGCTATCTCGTAGCAACAGAGATTTGCATGGTAAGTAAAATGTGCGCGGCCGTGTTTTACCACCCGCTTGATGTGCCCCTTTGAGAGGGTCTGTTAATGAGCAAACCTGGGGATTATTTCTTACGAGCTAGCCGAGCATCAGGCAGTGAGGTGTAGGAATATCTCACTCGCAGAAGTGATCTGATAAATGATGAGCACGTTGCAAAAAGAGCTGGCGACACACAGGGGATGCACAGTTCTCTTGATGTAGTAGGAGCACAGGGTGGACTAATGAACCCTGCAGGGAAAAAAGAGGGGGAAAAAATGCCTTAAATTACCCTGTGTGACTTTTACTGGCAAAAATTGTAGTGGAGCAGTATCTGTTATGTGTCTGCCTAAATCTTTGCTCTGCAGGTGAGTTTCATTGCCTGGGTCTTTGTCCTGTTGTCCATTACTGTAGTTGTGACTAAGGTGTTTTTTAACTTGGTAGTGTTTTCATTTGTTTTCATTTTTAACTTGACCCCATCAAAATGAACCGAATGTTTACTACTTTGAAAAGGACGTGCAAGGGAGGAATGGTAATGGGTTAAGCAGCCCAGATTGCCTGTGGCTCTAACACATTGCTATTTGGAAAGGTAGGGTGTTCCAGCCCAATGAACATGGGGTTTGAAAATGCAAACTACCATTTGACTTGACCTCCTTCTTAAAAGGCCCAGAACAGCAGAAGGGATTAAATGCACTGAAACAAAGTCTTTCTGGGACAAAAAAGCTGTTCTTACACGGATGTGGAATCCTGCCCTCACAAAGGGCCGGAGTGCTGAGCCCACTGTTTGAACAAGTAGCAGGGGTGCCCTCCAATTCTGCATATGCTCGTTACAGCTTTTCTTTTATCTTGCAGCCAGCAAAAAAGAAACAGCGAGCGCAAGTCATCGAGTTCTTCATTGATGTCGCTCGAGAGTGTTTTAATATAGGAAATTTTAATTCACTGATGGCAATCATTTGTAAGTACTGCTTGTCTAGAGAGCTCCCCATCGTCTGTCAGGGTGTAAAGGGTATATCCGAATGGCACCCACTGTCCTTTTTCTTCCTCCTCCCTCCTAGCTGGAATGAACATGAGTCCGGTTTCCAGGCTAAAGAAGACTTGGTCAAAAGTGAAAACAGCAAAATTTTTCATTCTTGAGGTAAAAAGACAGGCAAAACCTTTTTCTTTTTTAATGTGTGAATGATATATGAGATGCTTGTAAACATGTTTCATAGGCAGAGGGCAAGATGCTGGCTGTGGGTGCCGAGCAGGCAGTGAGGAAAGCGGATGATGTACCATGGGGAATCGGGGTTTTGTCACCAGGAACCAGCCTTTGGCCTCTATGAAATGCACAGTCCTCCTATCATCCAACTGTGGCACCTCATTCTGCAAATAAAATGGTGTCCAAGTAAAAACTCGGTCATTTATTAACACAAAATCAGAGGTACAAACAACCACGGCCTGTGCTCCTAGAGCTGTCATCGTATCCTTGGATCATGCATCCGATTTTCGCATGTGTAGGTTTTCCAAGGATGCAGGCGAGGCTCACTTAGGGCTTGGGAGGCTGTGGGCAAAGCTGTCTTTGGAGCACCCTGCTCACTTTCTAACCCAGGTGTCTTCTCTTGTGGATCTAGCACCAGATGGACCCTACTGGGAACTTCTACAACTACCGGACGGCGCTGCGGGGAGCTGCTCACAGGTCCCTCACTGCACACAGCAACAGGGAGAAGGTAGGAGCCACCGCAACCCCTGGGATGCGACCGCAGCTCCTGAGGTTCCGCGCGGATGGGGCAGGGAGCGACGCGCTGGGCTCAGCAGCTGAGGCACCGGCTGCAAGTGCTTGAGATGAGCAGCTCTCCTGCTTCCACGTCCAAGGATAGTGCACTGCTGAGTGGGATCAGAAATACAAGTCCGTGGCCAAGGGAAGTCTGAAAGGGGTCACGGAGCTTTTGTGGACTGGCTGCTCAGACACAGGGGAGCGAGGCAGGGGACACAGCGCAGGGAGCGCTTCTTTGCTGTGAGTATCCCTTGAAAATCCGCTTTGTCTGGATTGATAGACCAAACTGCTCCCTGCTGGAGCAGGTATCCTGGACTAGAAAGCTGTGTTTTGCTGTGGAGTGTC